AAAAAAAAAAGCACTTTGAGGGTTGCTTTGTTAGTACTTTGGGTGGGTAACAGTGACACACAGTGGCTGCCCTGATGCTTTGGGCAATAAAAACAACCACTGTGAAGCAATTCCTCATTTTAATGCAGGGGTCAGAGCTCAGTGAGAGTCTAGAAAGCAGTGTATGAGTATTAATATGCATAATTTGGGTGTTAATTTGTTATCAATTTCTAGCTTGGTAGCAAAGTAGGTTTTTAATATGTGGCAAGTTCAGCAGTAAGTATCCTTTAATAATAAAATTTCATTAGTTCACACCATTTTGGTTGTTTAATCAAGTGCTGTAATGAAAATTAAAGTGCCATGCAGTCTACAGGCTCTCAGTCTTTTAGTCACCCTCTGATGCTTCACTTCCCCCTTCCTGTGGAAGTGAGATAAATGTTTGGGACTTTGTACCTGGTAAGTCTACCCTGAAACAGACTTATTTATCCAATTTTGAAGTTTTAAACTGCAGGTTCAACTCTACTGGGGATTTTAAAGAATATACTGTACAATATTGGCATGTTCTAAAACACTGACAAAAGTGGTTTTTAGTTCTTCTCTGAAAAGATTATCTGAGACTGGAATCTTCTCCAACACTAGTTTCTGCCTATAAATGTAAACCTTTATTTTAAATCTCTAATATAGGTTTTATGAGGATTTTGGAGAGGTTGTAAGAGTTCGTCACCATTCACCCTCTAAATGTAATTAATTTTTGCTTTAATGAAGTGTCTCCAGTAAAATACTCTGCAGTACTTCTACTATACCACTGCTCAAGTCATAGTTTTGGTTCTGCCTTTCTGTACATCTAAAAAATGACACTTCCTAAAATCAAGATGTCTCATCTTCCAAGTTAGTATGTGACAAGGAAGTGAACGTGATCTTGAGAGCATTTTAAAATTCCCTGGTTCTGGAAGGTTCCTGCTCTATCAGCATCACCCACTCTCTTTATTGATTCTCTGAATTATTTTTTTTTAATTAAGTTGAATGCAACATTTGCCAGTAGTGATCTTCATTTTTAATTCTGCTTTAGTGAGGTGTTACTGGTATTTCCTTCTCCCCTTAGCAATATTTCTTTACCAGTGCAGATAAATGACAGTGTCACCTGCATATCATGAGCTTCCCAAATTCCCCACCCCATTCTTCACTTTCTGTCCATGAGTTTACTTAACAGCAGATACACCCTGCTGCAGAGCTGTATACAGGGGTTAAAATGGAACATGAAATCTCCCAGTTTTGGAAGCCTGATGGGAATCAGGAGGTCTGAGTTGTGACTGATCTCAGTGAACTTCCTTAGGTTCAAAGCAGACAGTGCAGGGCTCTCATCCTTTTCCCTCTCCTACCTCTTCTCTCTCCAAAAAATAAAACCCAAACCCAAACAAAAAAACACACACCCAAAAAAAAGTGCTGTCAAATCCAGCAGAAGGCCTTTATCTTTTAAAAGTTGTTTATTTCCATGTATTTACTGTTCCATTGGGCAGCCTGTATTTTACACTGCACAGGGAAACATAATCTGTGGTTGTGTAAAATAATTTGGGTTCCTTTAGTACAATCTGTGATTTCCTTTTGCTGGTGTAACACTTGCTTTACTAAACAATGTTGATTTTTTTTTTCTCTCTAGGATTTAATGATTTTTGAACACCAGTGGACCAACTTTTTTGCTAATTTTGATACTGAAATTCCCTTCATTCTGGAACTATCCGAATCTCAGGCAGGGGAGGTAAGTGTAAATCCTTCAGAGGTAATCCTTTGAAATGCTGATGTGATCCCTGAAAAACTAATAAGTATTCAGCATTGTTCTTTGGTCTCTGGGTTTTTCTTCTCCCTGAACATCTCACCTTTCATATTTAAGGAGTAGAAACCTAGTGTTTAGAATTTCACCACCCACCTGAATTATTTGTGGTGTGATGGCTTAGGACTGCCTGATGTCCTTCAGCTGAGTGTGATCTGAGTGTGATCTAGCACACTTTTCTTTACTTATTCATCAGTTTTGGGTTTTCTTTTAATTCTTCACAGCCTTTCAGAAGTTATTTCAGTCATGGAATGATCTCCAGCCATATCACAGATAACAGGTACTGCTCACTGTTCCCTGGGAAGCTGTAACTGGTATCTTGGTACATTATTTCCCTATCTCAGATGTCATAATGCTTATAATTCCTTTGGGGAATTTGTATCACATCTTATCTCTACATGTTTAAAAAATAAGGTGTGAAGGTGCTTCTGGGAAGGAGAAAACAAATTTTTATGGGATTTAATGCTGCAGTTGTTACAGTATCAGTATGTGTCAAACAATCCACCTTGTGTATTCTTATGGGAACAATTTCATCATCAGATACCTGGACAAACCCAGGAATTTACTCCACAGGACAGCTATGTTTGAAAATATTGTTCCTATCTATGCTATCCTTAAAACCAGTTAAAATGTGAAGGTGGAAGAAGTCAATATACTTTTGTGAGCTGCAACCTGCACAAGACCAACACTTAATGCAAAGCAATTAAACCCCCAAATCTTAGCCAATATCAGCTGGGCAGGGCAGGTCAGCTTTATTTTAGTTCAGCACAGAATTTTAACTGTGAGAGGAAGGTTGTTATGTGTTGCAAACCCAAGCTTTCTGCTGTGTTGGGATAAATAAAGTTGCTTAGCTACTTGAATATCTCTGCAGATTCCTCTTTAGCTGGAATGAGACAGTGAAGTTCAATGCCCTGGATTGTTTTTGGCATCCTATGTTGTTTGTGTTTAAATAATGAAAAGAAAAACCTTGACCTCTCCAGCTCAGTCTTGGGCTCAAAGCCAGAACTAAAACCAAAATAGTTCTGTTTCATTCTAATTCAGGCATTTCAGGGTTTTTTAATTCTAATTCAGGCATTTCAGGGTTTTTTAATTCTAATTCAGGCATTTCAGGGTTTTTTGAGATGGTAAATTTTAAACTAGTCAGCTTTTCAAGGCAATTTACTTGAGAAGAGGGGGGAAAAAATCCTTCTAATAGCACTTGAGAAACATTCTTGAGCTAGATTCTTGTATGTGAAACCTGCTGTTAGTGAGAAATTCAATAATTGGTCCATCAGACTTGAAAGCTTTGCTCCTGTTGGTTGCCTGTGAGTTTTGTGCAGGTATTTTGGTGGTGATACCCTCTTCTCTCCTCAGTCCTAGCCGGCAGCCCTTCGTTCTCTTCGGTAGCCACTCGACTAAGGAAAACTTGAACTCTGGGAACTTCAATTTTCCATCAGAAGGACATCTGGTTCGAAACACTGGCCTGGGTGGGAGCACTGCTAAGCACATGGTAAGGCTTTTTAAGGAGTTACCTGGTGTTTTGAAGCAGTGTATATTTTCTTTTTCTTTGTATATATTTTTTTTGGTGCCCTTAAAGTACTTAACTGCCATAAGTCAAATACCAAATTCTTAACAAGTAAAAACATGTTACCTTAACAATCAGTTTAAGGAGCAAAGCTCTTTTTCCTTTCTCTTTCCAAGTCAGACCATAGTGGATGTTTAATCAGAGACTAGTAAAGAGTTAAAATATTATTTTCTCTCTAAAAAGACAACTTTTTAACACTCGTGGGCCTGTAAATGTGTGGGGAGGGGGAGAGGGAAATACTGTTTGGGAGGAAGTTTGTCCTGGCCACAAAGTAAAAATCTCCCTGATGGTAGAATATGATGGACTTAATAGTGACACACAGATTTTATTTTAATCAGAACTGTCCAGTCATTTCTTAAAGAAATTGAAAGATGGGGTTTTTTTTGTGTTAATGACTTTGTGACTAGACCCAGGATACTTCACACGTATCCATATTTCCATGTACACTTCAGCAACTGCACAGCTGCTGAAACCTGAACAATAAAAATCTTTCTGGTGTTCAAAGACTGTTAAGATCAAGTTGTGAGATTAACTTGTTTCCATTTTCAAGTAAAAGCTTAGTTTTTAAAGCATAGGATGGGAAACGCCCCCAGGGAGTTGAGATCCTCTGCCTGGCTGGGCCGGGTGCATCCAGAAGGTAACTCACAGCCGAGGAGGAGGAGAGGTGGTGTGGGGATTGCCTGGTGTAGTTCTCCCTGCCAGCCAGTCCCCCGGGGCTCTGGGAGTGGCTGTGGCTTGTCTGTGCTGCCGAGGAGGTGGATGTGGTGGAGGACAGGTCATCGTGGAGTGGATGTGTGACTGAGGGAGTGAGTTTATGCTCTGGTCCTGGTGACATTTCACGGGGAAGTCGCCCTAGGGATGGATGGACGTGGGTGTTCCGGACACGCCGCGCGTGTCAGAAGCCTGAGAAAGGGTTGTTACAGCATCCTGGTGAAACCTCATCCTCCATCTGCTGCTCTGTCTAACCCTGTTTCTGTGAAAACACTTCCACTGCTGTTGTTTTCTCCCTTTGTTAACATTCCCATTAAGACCATTTGGTATCTTTCAACACACAAGTCCAGCTTTATCCAGATGTACTCGCTCCGTCTGTTGTCCTCAGATTCTGCTGTTGTTCTTAAAAAGGTGGTTTATTTACAGGTACAGGTGATACTATTTTAATAGGGTCTCATGAAAATAGTAAATAAGACCAAGTGCAAGGATAGTGGTGGGAGCCTGACACACTTTCCTCTTCATGCAAAGAGCAGTTGACATAGGAAATTGAAAGCCCATGCTTAACGCTCACGGAATTCAGAGCTCATCTCCTTCCCAAAGTCTTTCAACCATTCAGGTCAAGTCAAAAGTGAAATAGACCTTTGAAAACGTAAGTTGCCTTTTTAAAATCCAGTTCAGTCTGTGTTGTTTGCTTCCTGTAGTCTGTCAGTGGTTAGAAGGGGAACTTAGCTGCTTGTTAATTATCACACCAGGATGTTTTTACTAAAGTCTTTTTGTATCCCGTTGATACTGACAACTAGGTAGTGCAGTGTGTGTCTCCAAAGGGACCTCTGGCTTGCTCAAGGACCTATTTTTTTGGGACCACTCACATTCCTTTCCTGGGTAAGTAGATTTAAAAATACCAACCAGTAATTTAAGACACTTATTCACTTTGATTATTTAAAATTCATAACAATTAAAAGATGGCCTTGGTTCCTTTATGAGCATTAGGCCAAAGAGTGGTAGATACTGTGTATTTCCATGCATGAAATCATAGCAGAAGGTTGTTCTGTTGCACATTCTGCCTTCACATGCAAAAATCTGTCAGATATTCACAAGGAATGATTCAAAGGTCAAGAAGGATATTTGTGTTTACATCAGAATGCAGCCTGAAGGTAGAGAAGGTAGTGTCTGTGAGAATAGGCAGCAGGCCTTTTACAGGTACTAGAGAAGCATTTAAATCTGTGTTCCATACAACCTGATAGAAAAACAGACCCCAAAAACAGTCATTCAAAGTGGTAGCTGTTAAATAAGGCTGCTTTTATTTATTTATTGATATTTTTGATAAAATCATTGACCGTTTTTAGAAGGATATGGAAAATTCTTTGGCTTTTAGCCTTTATCCTCTGGTTTGGGTCTGATATGGTGTGTTACAATTGCTGTCTTGCCTAATGAAAACGAGCCATGTGAAATTGTTAAAAACAGCTTTCTTACCCATTTTCAATGACTGAATGAGTCTGTGGATCAATTCAGTCTTCTTTGGGTTACTACAAATCTTGAAACCATAGCCAGCTCAGAAAGTATCTGAAGGTGGTTGTGAGCTTGCAAAATGGAAGGAATTTTGGCATATATTTGCTCTAGTTGTGCCATTTCTGGGAGGAAAAGCTCTGGGAGATGGGGTAGAACACGAGAGGGATCTTTGTTCTGACCTAGTGCAGCTGGTTTTAGGGGGTGCAGGCTTTGGTCTTGGCTGTACTGATACAAGTCCACCTATGCTCTCCTCATTTTTAAAGTGCAAACAAACTGCACACAAAACACTGGATAAATGTCATGTGTGATATGCAGCAGAAGTCTTATGCCCAAGTAATTCTGCATAACTACTTCTGAAAGTGCTTGAACCAGACATTGTTTTTGTTTTGAATACAGGAAATGACAAGGAGATGCACAAGCAAGCTGAACAAGTGTAAGCTGCTGAGTTTTTATTCTCTCTTCACTCCCAAACTGCTTTTAGTCACCAGTGGCTGTTGGCTTTACAGAGCTACGTTTTTATTTGGAATAGTGTGAATGTGAGAGGGTTTCAAAAGCAAATGGCTCATGGAGAGTTTCAGTGAGCAAGCTGGAAATTGTTAGTGTGACATCCCTTCTGTGTAGAGCAAAGTAGGAAAGGAAATACTAGTACATTTTGCTTAAATTTGAGTAAAAATTGCCTTATCACTTCCTTGAATCACATTCAAATGTACTTTGTATACCCTGAGGGGGTAAATATCTCTAACTGGATGAGAACATGTCCCACAAATAGAAGTAAAAGTAATTGTTTGGACTAGTTTCATTAAGCTAAACATTATATCAGACTTGGATTAGTGAAAATACCAACAGGGAATGCTCAAACTCACAGAGACATTTCACAGTGTTGAAGGATAGGGAAAAGTTAACTGCTGGGTATTTTTGTTAGCAAGCTACAAAGCTTCTGCACAATTTTGACCTTCACATGATAAGACTTTGTTTATCCATGTGGATGTTCTCTGCATGTCGTAGATGCCTCAAGCTTTAAGAACGTGGTAGATAATCTGCTTGGGTGCTGCTCTCAAAGCTTGATTACAACAGACCTTTCCTGAGAGATTTTCTCCTCCTTGCTAGCTGAGGATAATTTTAGGAGCCTGTTCTTGCTCCTGCAGTGGAGCAGTTTGCTGGGCTGAACAACTAAGTTTCATTTATTTCATTTACTTACAGTAAATTAACTTTGACAGGCAGTGTTGCTTACCTATATGTTCTTCTCAGAGAATATTTCTGTTCCTACCTCTAAAAGACTTGGTACTAAATACACTTCCAACCAAGATGCCTAAAGAACTTCTAAAAGCAAAGCAGGGTTCAGTTGATAGAGGCAGAATTTTTTTTTTGAGAGTTTCTTTTTATGGGAATATCCCTATATCAGATCAAATAATCTAGTTTCAACAAAAACTAGCAGAAAAATTAACTTTTCTGGGAAACTTGACTTCCTGATGTCAGAATTGTTTTGCACTTGAATCCTGTAACTGGTTCTTATATTGGTCAATATTTTCCAATGAAATAAAAAGTGGAAAAATACTTCATAAGCACTATTCAGTCCAAATTAGGAGGCAGAACTGCAGCTTAGAGTGCAAATCAGCTGGAGGGCATAAACTGACTGTAATTTTAAGTATCCCTGAGGTAAAAATCTGTATTTTTATATTTTTAAAAGAAAATATCATCTTCTGTTTTCCATTGTTAGGGTGAAAATTTGAAAATGGGAGGAAGAGTAAGGTAACTGTGGCATTCTAGTGCAAAGCACATTAATAGCTCTCTGTGAGGTGTTTTCCTGCAAATATATATGTGTGAATTTGCATGACAACAGGAATAATTACAGAGTTAGGAAGGATTATACACATTTCCTGTAGTGAGTGTGTACTGAAAACAGGAGTTAAATGCATGTGTTGGTAGAGGAAATGATATAGAAGAAACCTCAACAATTAATAAGAAGGTTTGACTATAAAATACTGGACTGCTGTTGGGGATGAAGTGCAAAGACAAGCAGGGGTGCATCCTGAGGTTCCTCCATTCTGGGCAGCATTTGGGAGCTTTTTTTTCACCCTTCAGGAATGCTTTGCACATGGCTTAAGTGCTTTATCCTTCTCTTTCCTCTACCTGCCCTCAACATCAAGCAGTTGCAGAGGAGTAATGAGAGGAGTTAAAGTTTGGGGAAGTAGGACTGTTGTCATTGCTTCTCTTTTATTCCACTTCAGCTGGCAGACAGAGGCTGGTGTTTCTCCTTTGGGCAGGGGTGGGTTTTTTCAGCAGTTCTGGAGCTCTTTAGAAGTGCTCAACAGGTTGTAAGGGACAGTTTGGTTTGGAATCTTCCCTTTGTTTGAAGTGCTCCAGAAGATGTCAGTCTCTGAATTGGGTTCACTGTCATGATATAGTTGGGGTTGGAAAGGACCTTTGAAGGTCATCTAGTCCAACCCCCCCCAGTGATCAGGGACATCTTAAGCTAAAGCAGGTTGCTCAGAGCCTCATCCAGCCTGGAATGTTTCCAAGGATGGGGCTTCCACCACCTCTCCCAGTGTTTCAGCACCATTAGTGTCAAAAATATCTTCCTTCTCTCTAGTCTAAATCTCTCCTCTTTCAGTTTAAAACCCCTTTGTCCTGCCACAACAGGCCCTGCTAAATAAATGCTCCCCAGCGTTCTAAACCTTTCAGTTGAAAACTAAAAAGAGTGAGCAAATTGATAAGCATCAAGCTATTTCTACACTTATTTGAACCAGGAGCTCTTCCATCTTAAGGGAGTTGTGTTCTGAGAGGGGAAAAACTGCTCCTTTAAGCAGAGGAGGATGAAAACTCTGTCTGTCTGGTAAATGTTGTGTTTGTATCTCTCTTCAGTACGCTGTTGTGGCAAATCTATGCTGCTGTTGTAGAGGCTGTGCTTGCTGGCATTGAGTGCTATGCTAAAACTTCCACTGAAGCCAAGGTAAATGAAGCACCCATTCTGTACCCTCTAATTGTTGATTTGGATGGCTTGCAATAGGAGGTGACATGCAAAGTGAAAAAGCAATAAATAAATGTTTTTCAGTCGACTGCATAACATGAGTGAGTTTAATACCATGGCCTCCAGCCCATCTCTCTGAATGCTGTTTAAAAAGGAGCCATTTCAGAGTGTCTCTCATCTCAGCCATCTACTATTGTTTTTCCATCTTTTGTGAATTTTCCTGACCTTCTAGCAAGGAAAATCAGCTATGTGAATGAACAAATTTTAGCCTGGTGCATCAGTGTGTTATTGTTCAGCGTGTGGTCTCTCATTTCTCTCACGGGTGCTCTTGTAGATGCTGAGGTTGGGAAGTGTGGGAGAAGATGTTTTATTGCCCATTTTCCCTTTTTTCAGGCAAAGGAGGCAGCAGAGCAGGTGCTCATGTCTGTGTTGGATACTCTTCATTTGACACAGCTCAGAGCTGCACTGCGGTATGTACGTTCAGATCCTCAGGAATTGTTGTGTGGTGTCAATCCATAAACTTCTTTGGGGGAAAAAACAGATCCAATTTTAATTTATTTTTAATATGTCAAATAATTTTAAACTGAACTTGCCCGACTGCCAAACTCCAAGACTTCATGGTGCATTCAATCTTTTAAAATCTTTCTAATTAGTCCATTTTTCTGCTTTTTTAAAGCCCTTCAGTTATTTTGCTTTAACTCTATTATGACTTTTTTGTTTAACATGTAGGAGAAATATAAAACACTTTTTTTTTTACCAGCACATTTTCTGTTCCACAGCTCCAAAATCACTTTTCAAATTCAGGCTGTGAATAATCATGGAAGGTTGGTATCACTCTCTTATGCTTCTTGTTATTAATTAGTGGGTTTCCTACAGTAATAAGTTTAATTTTCTTGTCTTGGAACTTCTGCAAAAACCCTGCATTTGTTTATTTCATACAAGATGTACTAAATGCTTTTGTGCATGAGACAGTTGAATGATTTCAAAACTATAATTCTGTGGAATCTTAAACATGTTAAAAAATGTAGAACAACTGGGCAGACAGACTTTATTAATTGTTACTGCCTAAAAGCAGCATGAGTCCATTAAGAATTTCCTTTTAAAACTGTGCTTTTCACTGTTGATATCACAGGTTTGTGCTTTTTTTAATCCTTGCACTGTCTGACCAACTGAAATGGCTTAGACAAAGAAGAGTTAGTTTTAAAATTAAATACCTTTTTTGGCTGCTGAAGTCACTCAAAATGAGCTAACCTTTAAATATCTAATTGTCATTATTGTTCTAGAATTACTCCATTAGATAGTGAGGACAGCCTGAGTTTGATTAAAACAGTAAGTAACAGTGTTCTGATTATACATTTTATTAGAAAATAGAGCTCCTGTGGCTACTTTTTTTTTATGGGGTGTGCTGAGATTTCTCTATGTGTGAAAACAAACGTAAGGAGAGAGGTGAATTAGATTTCAGATGCTGAAAATGGGGGAAGATTGAGTTATAATAAGAAGTCAGTGGAATTTGGAATAAAACATGAACATAGAGTTAAGATTTCAGACTTCCTACTGCAATATATAAGTGGTATTTTAGGAGGTTTAAAGTATAAGGATTTGGTTGCTGGTTCAATTCAAATGTTTTGGTGTGGCCAGCAGGAGCAGGACAGGGATCATCCCCCTGGACTGGGCAATGGGGAGACTGCACCTCAAATCCTGGGGTCAGTTTTGGGCCCCTCACACCAAGAAGGACCTTGAGGGGCTGGAGCGTGGCCAGAGAAGGGCAACGGAGCTGCTGGGGAAGGGTCTAGAGCCCAAGTGTGGGGAGGAGCAGCTGAGGGAGCTGGGGGTGCTGAGCCTGGAGCAAAGGAGGCTCAGGGGAGACCTTCTGGCTCTGCACAGCTCCTGACAGGAGCCTGGAGCCAGGGGGGGGGCGGGCTCTGCTCCCAAGGGACAAGGGGCAGGCCAAAAGGAAAGGGCCTCAAGTTGCCCCAGGGGAGGTTGAGGTTGTCCCTGAGGAACAATTTCTTGCCCTGGAGGGTTGCCCAGGGCTGTGCCAGGCTGCCCAGGGCAGTGGTGGAGTCCCCACCCCTGGAGGGGTTTCCAAGCTGTGGAGCTGTGGTGCTGAGGAACATGGTTTGTGGTGACCTACCAACTACCAAGCTGGACTTGATGATCTTGAAATTTTATTCCAGCCAGTAAAATTTTATGTTTCTAAGCTCTGCTTTCTCTTCCTTTCTGCCCAACTCTGATTGCTGCAGGCTTCTATGATGGTATTTGACATTCCAGACCTGCTCACAGGAAAAGGATGCTTGGGCTCTGTTGTCTTTTCAGAGTCCTTTCTAACATCCCAGATACAAGTCAAAGAAAAAGGTAACTAGTTCAATTTCTTACACCAGGGTTGTCCTCCTGTTAGCTTTGGTATGACTGAAGAGCAAAAGGGCTTCCAGTGGCTGTTACTACTGTTACCATTATGCTTTAAAGCCTTTGGGTTAATTAAAAGACCTAAATATTTTAGCTTGCTAGGAATGAGTGTCTTACATATCAAATTTCTCCAGTCTCACTGAAAGGAGTTTGGATTTTGTTGCTACCTTTTGATTCAGCAGTGCTGAGGCATAGAAAAATTCAAGTGTAATATTCCCCTTCCTAAATTTCTTCAGTCTTGGTGAATCTTTGCTCTTGTGTGAGGAAATTCAAGCAGCTCTCTTCCATCACTTTTGTAACACTCATTTTATACAATAGGTTTTAACTTTAGTCATTCATTGGTTGGAAGAGATGAAACAAAATTAATAAAGGATATGATTTTTTAGAAAGCTTATTTTTGGAATGGTGCTACATTTAAAATACAGGATACTGAGTGATTTCCATAACTGGACAAATGTGTATTTTCCAGGTTATTTACACGTGACAAAGAGAATTTCTGAAGTTATCTGAACAATATTTATGAACTCTTGTGGTTTTCTACCCTGGGAGTTGGAACCCTTCTGATGGGGAGGGGAGCAAAGGAAGAAGCCCTGTACTAAGATCAGAATAAAAGCAGATTTTCTTCAGTTTTGTATCACAGCTCTGTGTGTGTGCTAGAGCACAATGCCATGAGCTACTCTCCTATGAAAGCTTCACTTAAACACTAATAAGTCCTTAAAATAACGAGGAAATTTCATATTTCAAGTTATAAAAAGAACTTGCTGAACAGTCTGAAGTCTATGGATGGTGTTACATGACTTTGCTTTCCATTTACTTCCCTGCAGATGGCAGCATTAATTCAGAAACCAGCCACATAATACTGACTGCAGCTATCCCAAGATATGCTTCCTGGCTGGTGAGTACACAGAAACTTACTGGATTTTATAATTACAGACTCACAAATGGAAATCTGTTATAAAAATACAAATGTGTGAGGAGGAAGTATGGAGCTGGAGTATTAATATCTTAATACTCTTCTGATTTTATTAACTTGGGCACAAAGTGAAAAAGTAACTAGTGGAAACAGGCTGATGGTTCCATTCATAACATAAGTTTTGAATTTATTGTTTTGAAATAATGTTATGAATTTTCAGCATTTCAGCTTTTCAGCTGTGGAAAGACCTGGGTGTTTCTCAAGAACACAATGTGGCTTTTGAAAATCCTCTTTCTGGTGGAGCAATTCAGATCACTTAAATATCTGTCCCAGCAGAAAGCAAGGTCTGCTTCCAGCCCTCTAATGCACCACACTGTTAGAGCTGTACTTCCAGGGAATTCTGTGAATCTCCATGAGTCTCCTGCTCTGGAGAGATTCCAAACCTGCCTGGCTGTGATTCTGGGCACCCTGCTTTGGCAAGGGGCTTGGATGAGGTCATCTCCAGAGGTCCATTGCTACCCCACCATGCTGGGATCCTGGGAATGTGATGAAGCTGGACAATGCTATGCCCTTTGTCAATCCATACTTCTTCTTAAACACCACTCATAAAATGTAGGGCTGAATGGGATGTGCTGCTTTGTGTCCAGACAATACTTTTTGACTCTATAAAACTATTCAGTGGGGAGTATCCCCTTGAATGTCTTTCAAGGAACTATTTCAGTTGCATGGTGGCATAGAATTGAAGAGCACAAAGCAGTTTTTGAAGCACTGTGGGCTCAGGACTTTACCTTTCTGTGGTACCTGAGGGTCTTCCTCTCTTTGATCTTCTTAAATGCTTTTTATTTAACATTAGTCTTGTTTTATATACTAAGTACAAATGGAAACTGTTTCTGGCTGCAGGTTGAAGACAGTGATGTGAAACTCTCTGAAAAGGCACAACATATATTGAAGGTAAAATTAAACCTCTTTGTTAAACTCTACAAGTTACACTTTCAAGAACTCATTAAAAAACAATTAGCTGCTAACAAAACTAGCTTTTACTACATTTGTTACTCTTTTCCTCTCAAAAACTTGCCTGTTCTACCCTGTCTCTTTCAAACTTTGACCTACCAAAAAAATAAAGCACATTGTGTGTAAAAGTTTGAGGTTTTGTTTATTTCAAAGAATGGCAAAACCCAAGAGCAAAAAGAGTTCTAATAAAGCTCCAATTTCATGGAAGTCTCACTAAGTATTACCCTTGGATCTCATATGTTTCAAAAAATCCCCCCAAACTCAATGCCACTCTATATGCAACTTTCTTTTAACTTCATTAGCAAGCTAAATGTCTAAAGGAAAACACTTTAAGCACTATGAAAAATAAAAGAATTTGGGATCTGGGAACATCTTAAACCACATGAGTTTCCCATTTGTGGTTTAATTTGCGGTTACCAGAAATCTTCATTATAAATAGATTTATTTTCCTGTAATCTACTTTTAGTTCAGTAGATTTACAGCCTAAAAACAAAAAGCTGTGCCTTGTGGTTCTGACAATAACTTGTAACTTAATAGCTGCTGGCAAAACCAAAATGGGGGGAAGTGCTTTTAAAAATTAGGCTCTTGACTTGCTGTCTTTCGCTAGTTCCTCTGTATCAAGGCAGCTTCAAACTCTTTTAAGAGTTCTGACAGATGCTGTTTAAGAAAAGATCTTTTTCACTTGAAGCAGAAAGCATGAGAAAAATGTTCTTGCCTGGATTACAGTCCTCAATCCACTCTGTGATGCTGCTGTTTGTTTTTCCTCCTTAGGAAGACAAATCTTTTCTGGGCACTTTACTCACGGGAGGTGATGGAGCGTATATTTATTCTAGTAATCCACAGGCCATGCCTGCAGAAGGTGAGATTTGGGGGAGGGGGGTGTTAAATTGATTATAAAAAGTCCACTTTTTCTTGTTTGCTTGTTTGTTTTTTTATTAGACAAAAGGAGGTGGCCAGTTTCTGGAATTTACCCCTCTGATGAGCCTACCGATGGCTTTGTCTTCAGCTTTCTTGCCATTTACCCTTACAATTCTCTCCTGTAAAATTCCATGTCTTACTTTTTTTGTCCCCAAACTCCTAGTCTGGGAAGAAGGTTTCTTGTCAGAGCCATAGACTTGGTTTTGAGGCACATGGGGCTCTAACATGACTGGCAGTGAGGATTTGCAGACCTGTGAGGTGGCTTTTTTCCATCGTTCACACTCAAAAGCATGCACAAACTGCCTGCTTCTGTCCTTAATAAATGATCTGCCCTCCATTTGCTGCATCTATACAAACATTAAGTTGGAAAGATTGGGTGTTCTGGTAGTGACAGGATGCCATGGGCTCCCAGCTCAAGAAGTGAAGGCCAGTAGGTACCTTTGGGTGATTTGATAACACTGCAGGTGTTGTAGGAAGGGATTGGAATGATTTGTTTCTAAATTTTTTTACAGCCTTGTGTTCTTTGCCTTCTCCTGGAGCTGACAGGCTGTTCCATTTTTTTTCTGTTGTCATTTTCACTCAGGAACTTCAACACTTGTTAGCACAGATGCTCACTGTGGTACAGAAAGCTGCTTGGCCTTGCTGCTTTCCAGATTCACTCAAGTTACTGCTGTCTGATACCAGATTACCAGTCTTAGATCATTCCTCCTCTTTTGGTGCCTTTTTCTTCAAGAACCTAACACAAATATGCCAGTAATATATCTAAAGACAATTTGGGAGGACATCTGGGGAGGGGTTTCCCTCACTCCACAGCCATGCTTTGCCTTGAACCAATAGTTACTTCCTAAGGCATAATATTTTTATGTTATGGAGCAAGTTACTTGTTCCCTTTTTTGGGGTGATTTGTGAAGTGAAATGTTTTGATAACTCTTGGGCTGGAGAGTCATAAGTGGGTGGTATAAGGACCATTATGTAACACTTCAACGAGTGAGATATTTTCTCAGGTGTCAAGTGAAGCTGAACTTGATCTCATTCCCTTTCATGTATGCTGCAAGACCATTTGCTCTGCTCTAATTTGGGCTCTACTGAGGTTGCAGCTCTGTAGTCTGGCAAGATCAGGTGGAAAAGGTGCTGTCAGGCAGGCACTCATCTCCTCTCTCTGTCACTTGTGTCTTGCTGTAATAAGGTACATACATTCATGACTAAAATACACCCAAAAAGTTCAGGCTGTTAAACCTTTTCTTTTTGGGTGCTAATACAGCTGCTGTCTTAGGGGTTTTTGTAGGATGAACTTGAGTGAGTCCAACAATCTTGCCAATTAAAGTCTCTTCTGTGATTAACCACGTGTGGAAAATACACAAGTAGTGCATCAAGTTGCTCTCAATACAGTTCACTGACTTCCCTGTTAAAGGAAGCCAGTTTAGTTTGGATTAATTAATTAATACTCTTTTTTTATTTGCTTTTCTGTCACAAAAGAATTAAAATCTCAGCCTTCCTTTCTTACACCATTGACACAGTGTGATATCCTCTGAGATTTGACAGAAATGTGTTTGGAAGTGTTATATCTTCCAGCCACTCAGTAGAAGGCCCATGCCTGTGTGGTGGCTTGGATTTTGTGAGCACTGGAAGCATCAGCAGTAAACATCTAGTCTGTGTATACCATTAAACCTCCACATCTGTGGAATTATGGAATCATAGAATGGTTTGTGTTGGAAGTGACCTTAAAAATGATCTATTTTCAACCAGGGACACCTCCCACTAGAGCAGGTTGCTCAAAGCCCCATCCAGCCTGGTCTTGGAACACCTCCAGCAATGGAGTGTCCACAGGTTCCTTGGGCAACCTGCCCCAGCATCTCACCACCCTCCCAGTGAAGAACTTCTTCCTAATTTCTAATCTAAATCTCTCCTCTTCCAGTTTGAAGCCATTCCCCCTTGTCCTATCACTACAAAGCCTTGTAAAACATCCCTCTCCAGCTTTCTTGTAGGCCCCCTTCAGATACTGCAAGATCTCCCTGGAATCTTCTCTTCTCCAGGCTGAAGAACCTCAACTCTCTCAGCCTGTCCTTGGAGGAGAGGTGCTCCAGCCCTCTGATCATCTTCATGGCCC